ACTAGTGGAGCAATTGTCTGGGTAACAATCTATAATATATTCTATTAGATTATTACTGGGGTATAAAGACATCTTCAGAGATATAAGGGGGGGAAAGAGATAATGAATTTACCATAACTCATCTCAAAGAAGATATTTTATGTGCTTGAAAGGAATGCTGAGGGTAAAATCCTCCAAAAGTCATGCTTGTCCTCAGAACACCAGAGAGGCTCTGCTCCTTCCAAGGCCATGAAGTACAGTTCATAGGGACATGAAACTTTTAGCTATCCCTGGGCATCCATAATCCTTATGTCATCATCGTTCCTTAATCAACTCCAAATGAGAGCATGCAGTGAGTTTACCTCTTGCCCACCCTCAACTCTATCCCCATCTACAACTTAGACAATGTTCCTATGCATACAATTTATTGAAGAGGATCCCAACCATTTCTGGAAAGAACATATTGTGGAGAGGGCACAGGAATTGGTGGCAGAGAATCCAGGTTGATGACCTGGGTTCAAATCTTATTTACTAGCTCTGTTCTTGAGCACCGTAATTTTCGCATCTGCCAAATGGGATGTTTGTTCCATCCAGAATGTATGTGAAAGTCCTTTGTAAACCCTAAAGCAAATTACACGATAGTCTGTTTATAGGTGAAAAATGGGTATACATGAGTATTCTCTGAGATCTAGCTTAAATTTTTCTTATTGAAGTAATTACTTTTGTTCTCTAGAAATAACTCTGGCTTATGATTACATCGTTTATGTCAAACAAGGTATATTTTATGTGATAGTCTCATTAGGTTATTATAACCACTATTTTCAATTGTAATACCTCTAACTAAAAAATAATGGTGTAGTATTGACCAGAAAATAACCCTTCTTCGTTATTAGTGACATCAGGGAGTATATCTTTCTTAGATTTTTGCTTTATTCAACAATTTTTGGTATGGGTGACCTTATTCTTTGAACGTTACGCAAAATTAATTAAAGACACCATTTTTTTTTAATGCCGCAACACATCTTGCTTAAAAAAATAATGTATCACTCACCAGTTCATTTTTCATGAGTATAATTATTCTCCTTTTTTGCAGTTGTCATTGTTCCATATTCTTTCTTTATGAGCCACTATTTTTTAAATATAAATTTTCACCTACTGTGTAAATGGGAACAGCTGTCGAGCTTGTAGTCCAGGAAGGGCCGTTCACATCCTCCAGCCAAATTACAAGTGTCGTGACTGGAAAAGCTATTACTTTTGAGCTCACCATAGTGAAAAGGCAAGCTAATCCAAGAAAGAAGTTTTTACATCTTGCAGATGTAACCTTTTCAGGTGAGCCAGAGTCTCGTTCTCGTGGCTGGGTGAAATTGTGTAACAACAATTTCAGTCCTATGGCCCTTAAAATGGTCTGTCAACACATGCTGGTGTGTGCTTTTCTATTTCCTTCTAGAGGTTTTTCAGCAGAAGGGTTGAAGTTATGGACTTTGAGGTCACCTTGGGGTCAGAAGTGAACTCAAATCCTGCCTCCACCTATTTACTTACTGTGTGATTTTGAACATGATGGTTAAACTTTCTAGGTTCCATTTTCCCAGCTATAAAATGGATAAAAATTCGCCCATAGAAACTATTTTTATAAAAGGCTTACCATGATGCCTGGCACATTGTAAGTGCTTAATAAATATTAGCTATGTTTAGCTTTGTGTATGTACCTTCCCTATATTTAAGGGGTTTTTTTTTCCTATGAATGGTATGTTTCCATGAGGCTCTGTATGAATTATGTTGTGTAAAGCATGTGGCAAACATTTATATTGTCATGCACGTCCCAATCCACCTTTCAGCATCTCTCCTAGAAATCTAGTGTTGGGCTCTAATTATCTAGAGCAAAAGCCATGGTATTTTCAATGCTTTAAAAAAAAAGCAATACTCAAAAGAAATTGGAGGGGATCTTTGGATATTCAGGCTAAAAGCAGAGGTCAACAGAAGTCAGTTTCTTAAAACCTACCCAGGCATTATGATTTTACATCTCTTTTTAAAAAAACACACATTTTTATTGATTTCAGAGAGGAAGGTAGAGGGAGAGAGAGATAGAAACAAAAATGATGAAAGAGAATCATTGACTGGCTGCCCACACTGGGGATTGAGCCCACCCGGGCATGTGCCCTGACAGGGAATTAAACTGAGACTTTCTGGTTTGTAGGTTGAGGCTCAACCACAGAGCCACACTGGCCGGGTGATTTTACATCTCTTAAGAATCTTCATTCCTTTGTCCATGTTGTAAAGTTTGTACAATTTAGACATTTTGTTACTCATTTTATCTTGAAATGTGAAATTAAGAGGAATACAGGCAAAGATTTGAACAATAAATAATCAGAGGACTTGGATCTACCTGGATATTTTTCCAGAATGTCAGGAACAAATCAGAAGATGATATGAGCACCACAAGAAACCGGAAATCACTCTCCAAAATGGAGCCTTGAATCTACAAACTTCCATTGCTCATTTTTCCTAATAACACTGTTGATCATGAGGCCTGGATTGCTCTATTTGGATAAGTCCCCTAAGGACATAACTTTTAGTAATAAAATGAAACATGTATAAAACTAAAGCCATCATCATCTCTTCAATCTTTATTCCTTTATCTCTAAAACTCTGTTCCAAAATTTGGGCATCTCTTGCATCCTATTCTTTCTTCTTCAATCTCTCAATATCCTGTCAACAACATTAATTTCCAGTAATTTTGTAACAATACTTCCTCTCCTTTGTTGTTATCACCATCATTCTTCTCCAGACTCTCTCCTCTCCAAGATGTCAGGCAGCAGTTGTCTTCGACATACTCTCTGTGGCTCTATTTTCTCCCCGTTTCATCCCTTGCAGACTATCAAATCTTCCCAGCTATCAACATGTCATTTTACTGTGCAAATGTTTTTTTGCAAATAAACACAAAATATTCCATATACCTGACTCTATTCTTTTAAGACTGAGTAGAGACTAGATGACCTTAAGCTATGGCTTTCAACATTTTTTAGCAGCAGAATTTTATTTTGCTTTTTCATAGATGAGCCTTCCCAAAAGACACTTTATAAAATAGCTAAAAGTCCTAAGTAGATCAATCATATAGAATTTATAAAAACTTTAAATTGGAGAAGTCAAATAACAGTCGTGGTCTTATCAAATAAGCATGTAATATACATGCATAAGCTCTCAAATGCAGCATGCAAATTTATTTATTGCACTTTATTGAGAAAAAAAATCCTGATTCACACTGATAAGAAGCTGAAAAAGGCATAAGTTTTATATTAGCTCTCTTAGCAATCTCACATTGCTTTCTGAATACAGACAAAATGGCGGCAGAAATTTTATTCCAGGTCAGAGTGAAATAAATAAACTGATGTCACAAAAGTGATAAGTAATATATTATAATGTGGCAAATACAAAATTTGAGTGTATACTTTGTTACTTTTTTATACATTTTCATATAAAGTTCCATTTAGAATGTCTGAAGTACCTGTAAATAACCTGAGTTTTACTGCACAGGTTTGAAAACCCTTTGGAGAGCACTCTTCTAACCTCTGACTCTTTTTTACTTCTAATTAAGCAGGATCTTTTGCAACCAACTCCAGTATATTCTTATGCCTCAGGAAGCAGTTCAATTCCCACCACCTCCATGAGGCCTTCCTAACCCCTCCAGCCCACAGAAATCTCTACCTCATCTAAATTCCTTCAGTGTTTATTGTCTATCACAAACATTGGGCACACCATTCCATGTACCTATCATAGGGCTACACAAATGTTAGGCAGTCAAGAAGCTCTGGATGGGAGAAAGATAAGGAAGGTCAACTGACAAGTTTTTAGCAGAAAAAGGGTTAAGGATGAGGTCACCTAGATTAAGTATGTTTCAGTGTAAAAACATTACTGGGATTAGAAAAAGAGAGATGAACATGTGACTGAAGTGATACATTAGGTTCTCCCATTCCGGCCCCCAACTTGGCACCTAACAAATCCATAAGTGTGTTATTTATTATTATACTAGAGACCTGGTGCACAAAATTCATGCACAGGGGGGTGGGGGATTGTCCCTCAGCCCAGCCTGAACCCTCTCCAATCTTGGACATCCCTCTCACAATCCAGGACTGCTGGCTCCCAACCGCTCGCCTGCCTGACTATCTGACTTCCCCTAACTGCTTCTGCCTGCCAGCCTGATCCCCCCCTAACCACTCCCCTGCCAGCCTGATCAATGCCTAACTGCTCCCCTGCCAGCCCAATTGCCCCTAACTGCCCTCCCCTGCAGGCCTGATTGCCCCCAACTGCCCCCTCCTACTGGCCTGATCGCCCACAACTGCCCTCCCCTGCTGGCCATCTTGTGGCATCCATCTTGTGTCCATATGGGGCAGCCACCTTTGACAACATGGGGGCGGCCATCTTGTGTGTTGGAGTGATGGTCAATTTGCATATTGCTCTGTTATTAGATAGGCTATTACAAACAAAATCACTGATTTGTTAAAATAGTGAGAGTGATTGTCTCACCATAATCTATGAACTGTTTTACTACACAAAGGAATACTTAAATGTGAGAATCCTACTGATATATCTTAAAGGTTTTTTGGATGATGCTTACCTTTAACTTAGATTAGATGTAGATGTTACCATTCTTCTTTCATTTTTTATTAATTAAGATGTCTTTATTTTTTTGTGTGATTAATCACTATGCTTTAATTATGTTCAATTTGTAACAAGGAAATTGGGGGTCACCACAACATGAGGAACTGTATTAAAGGGTCACGGCATTAGAAAGATTGAGACCACTGGTCTAAGGTTTATTTCTACCTCAATTTCTGGCCCCTACCCAGCCTGGTCCTGGTCCGGGCTTAGGCAGGAGGCAAACAACTGATGTGTTTCTCTCACATCAATTATTTATGTCTTTCCCTCTCTCCCACACTCTCTCTAAACATCAATGGGAAAATATCCTCGGGTGAGGATTTAAAAAAACAAACAAAGGTGGGTAACCTGGTCAGAAGGTCAAATCTTCAAAGTGCATGCAAGCTGCTTCTCCCAAGGGGTCTGGACTGAATGTTCGAGAGCATCTCCAGGAAGGCCTGTGGGGATGGTGCCTCCACATTCTGGAAGGTGTTCTGGACTCTGCCGAACAGGATGAAGTATTTCTTCTCCAGCCAGATGAACTCGAAGTGGTTCTCATCCAACAGGATGAAGACTCCAGGGTAGCGCCTGGGGTAGCCGAAGGGAGCTAAGGGACCAAAGTAAACGCCATAGAAACACAACCTGCAGGTTCGGGGGTAGTTCTGGTCTCTTGAGCGCACGCCCACAGGCAGAACAAACGGGACAGTCTGCTCCTCCGAAGTTGCAGTCCCAGACTCCCCAACGCTGGGCTGGGCAGGGCTCTGCCAGCCATGGCCCTCACTTTCCTCAGTCACCTCTTCTTGCTGCTGCTGCTGCTCCCGGATCACCTGCTCGTCAATCTCCTGGACCACACGGGAGAGCTCGTTGAAGTTGCGGAAGATCTCGCCATCTGGCAGCTGGATGCGGCGCATGAGGTGGATCTCTAACGTCCCCATGGAGTCTCCCGTGATCTTCGTGACCCTGGCATACTTCCCATGGAAGCTGAGCATGGCAATCATAGGGCCGAAGCCATCGTATTTGCCGTGGAAGAGGCCTGGCCTGATGAGGTCGTCCAGGTGGCTCGGCGGGAGATAGAGGCGGTGGTAGGTCAGCCAGTCATAACGCTGTCTGTCCTCCAGCACCAGCCCCCATTCTTTCTTAAGCCACGTTGTTAAATCCTTTCGGTGGTCTCTCTTGATCCACTGGATGCTGAACCTGTTCTTCTGAATCTGCATGTGGTGGCTGTTGGAAAAGTAGTAGATGTCGTCCATGCACTCCACTGTGGCTGGTTTCCTCTCTGTCAGGCGAATTCTAAACGAGGGCTCGAATTGCATTGGGTCATCCACATGGGTGTTAAGGGAAGGCTTGTACCTCCAACCAGTAATGCATAAACCATCCACCACTACATTCACTATTGTTCTATAGCCCTCAGTATCTAGCTGCCACAAACCCAAAATGTTTCTGTATGGGAACAGCTTTGCATAGACTTCTCGATAAGACATACCCATCAGCTCCAGGTTCTGCAAGTTTTCACGAATGCCAAACTCCTTGTGGCAGCGCCGTCTCCAGATGCTGTCGGTGTGCAGGATGTGGTAGAATTTGGTGCAGACCTGGGCCAGGCTGGGCAGGTCGGTGCCGGGGAGCAAGGCGAAGATCTCCACCAGTATCTCCACCGGCAGGTCCTGCAGCGAGCAGTGCGAGGGCGACATGGGGCTTGCAATTCCTCCACTCCCCGCACAGCACCGCGCTGCTGCGTCAGCCTCGAGGTGCTTTTCTGCCAGGGCCGGCTTGCCTTCGGCCGCTGCCGTCTCAGCTGGGACGTGGCACTCCTGAAGACACGGACATCCCTGCGAAGAGCCCACCCCGCAGAGGCCAGCGCACCCCTCCATGCCTCCACGCTTAACAGCCACCAAGTGTGGGCCGCCGCCCCTCCGCAGGTTTTTAAACTGGCTGGGTCCGCCCTAGAGTCCAGCCACGCCCCACCAGGGCCTAGCCACGCCCCCTCAGAGAGGAACCAATTGTAGGACTTTATTTTTTATTTTTTTAATTGTTTTATTGCTTAAAGTATTACAAAGAGTATTCCATATGTCTCCTTTTTTTCCCGTCCTTAACAATCCCCCGGCCTCCCCTACCCCACAGTGTCTTATGTCCATTGGTTATGCTTATATGCATGTATACAAGTCCTCCAGTTGATCTCTTACCCCTCCCCCCCCCTCCCGCCCCTCAACCC